CACACCTATTACAAAACCATACAATACAAAGTGCCGGCAAGGATACAGAACTAGAACTCACATATGGCTGGTAGGTAAATAAAATGGTATTGGAATTTTGGAAAACAGTCTGGCAGTTTCTTACAAAGTTAAACAGAGTAAGTTTTTACCACACAACCCAGCAATTCCATTTCTAGGTGTCACACCCAAGAGATGTCACACAAAGACGTGTAAGATTGCAGCTTTATTCATAATGGCCAAAAACCCAGAAACAATCCAAACGTCCGTCAACTTATGAACAGACAAACAAATTATTGTATGCTCATATATTTAAATACTGCTCAGCAATAAGAAGGAATGAACTACTGCTACATGTAACAGCATGGATAATTATTAAAAGCATTATGATAAGTGAAAGAAGGGATATCCAAAAGGTCACATACCATATGATTATTTATATCCTGGAAAGGCAAAATCAGAGCAACAGAAATCAGATTTGTAGTTGCCAGGGGTTAGGGAAAGAACTGACTACAGAGGGGCCTGCAGAAACTTCTGGGGGTAATTGAAATGTTCTGTATCTCAACTGTGGTGGTGGTTTTGTACACTTGTAAAAACTCATCCAGTTATATACATAGAAAAGTTTCTGTAAATAAATTATACCACAATAAATCTGGTTTTTTAAAAAACGCATTTCAGGCCGGGTGCGGTGGCTCACACCTGTAATCCCAGCACTTTGGGAGGCCGAGGCGGGTGGATCACGAGGTCAAGACATCAAGACCATCCTGGTCAACATGGTGAAATCCCGTCTCTACTAAAAATACAAAAAATTAGCTGGGCATGGTGGCATGTGCCTGTAATCCCAGCTACTCAGGAGGCTGAAGCAGGAGAATTGCCTGAACCCAGGAGGTGGAGGTTGCGGTGAGCCAAGATCGCGCCATTGCACTCCAGCCTAGGTAACAAGAGTGAAACTCCCTCTCAAAAAAAACACATTTCAAACTAATGGCAATGAGAACAATACAAGACATAATTTATGAAATTTGGTCAATATGTACCAAGAAGCAAATTAGCAGTCTTAACTGCTTTCAATATTAAACAAGAAAAGCAAAAATAAATTACCAAGCACTTGAAAAGATAAGAAAGCAAAGCTTCTGGCAAGTGTAATCAAGAAAAAGGGATATAAACACAAATGTGCAAGATTAAAAATTTTTTTAAATCAAATACAAAGATATTAGAAGTTATAAAGACTCTTCGTGCTGATACTAACGAACTTGAGAAGTAAATTAAATGAAAAACAAATGAACAAAACTGATGTCAGAGAGGTAGAAAACTGATAGGACAATAACATGTAGTGATTGGAAATGTTCTCAACGTAACTATTGCTGGAAATACTTCTAGATTCAGATAAATTTATGGTAATTTTAAAGTTATACCTGCAGAAACAGAAAATTCTGTTATAGTTCTTAACCATTCCAGAGTATAGAAAGAGAAACTTCCCAGTTCATTTTATTAAGACAGTACAACCCCAACCCTAAAATCTGTCAAAGTATTTAAAAAGGAAAACTAAAGAATAAACTTACCTTTAAGATAACTTACAGCTACCCTTAAAAAAGCATTTGTTTGTATGTGCCGGACACCACATTATATATTGCTTTACTCAAATATCTTATCTGGCAATCCTCTATTTCCCTAGTTTATTTGAATTTCTGTGTTTCCTTAAAACCTTTCTCTTTGCCTCCCTCATTATTACCCATACCTAATGACCATGTCTCCTAATTAACAAAACAAAACCAAAAAAAATCCATCACAAGAGATTTTCTGTAACTTTTTACCATAATACCTACTCAACTCATCTACATTGGGCTTCTTAATGTCATCCTTGCTGCTCTGTGTGAACTAGAAAAAGCCTATTTACTTCTACACTGAGTCCCTTTCAGTCTCACCTACTCAAGGATATTGCTCTTGTAATTTTTCCCCTCTACCAAGTCATTTCCATCAATAAAAAACAAGTTGTACTCCTCCCAGGATAAAAACAAACACCATACCCTTTAGCAGTACCATATCATTTCTCTGTTACCTTGAGAGAATTCCTTTCAAAAAGTTTTCTACATTAGGCATTCAATATTCCTGGCTTCCACATCCACTAATTCAACCAACTCCAGATCAAAAGTATTTGAAATATTAATAACAAAAAAAAAATACAAATAAAAAGCAACATAATACAACTATTTACTTAAAATTACATTATATTGGGTAGTATAAGTAATCTAGAAAAGGGTCGATCCTGGAACCAATCTCCAGTGGATACTGAGGGACCAATGTACATTCACTGCCTTAAATCTCTCTCCTGTTTTCCTGCAGAATCCACTCTCATCAGTCTTTTACCCACAATGCTGCAGTAAAATTGCTCTCTTAAGGTTATCAATGACTTCATGTTGCCAAATGCAAAGGTGAACTATCAGTCCTTATCTTGGTGAATATGGCTGCAGTAGCTCTCTATTTTACAGGGAGAAGACTAAGGTCTTCTCCCTATAAAATATTATTCTGACTTATTTATCACTGGCCACTCCTTTTCAGGCTCCTTTGCTGGTTGTTTCTCACTTCATCATTCTCTAAATCTTCTCTAGCCATATTCTCTCCCTAGTTGAGTCATCTAGTCTCATGGCTTCAATTACCATCTATAAAACTAATAACTCTCATATTTATAACCACAACTGGATCTGTCCACTGAACTCCAGGTACATATGTCCTTGACATCTCCACCTGGATGTCTGACATCTTACACTTCATATACTCAGAAATGAACTCTTCATCTTCCCTTCAAGAAATGAGTCTCCCAGAGTCTTGCCCATTTCAAGCAAATGGCAATTCCATTTGCTGATGGCAAAACACTTAGAGCCACCTTTCTTTCTCTACAATATGCCAGGAAATCCATCAGCTCTAACCTTAAAATATATCCAGACTACTACCACTTCTCACCACCACCCCAACTACCTTGGTTCAGGTAACCATAATATTTTCCAACTACCTTGGTTCAGGTAACCATAATATTTTCCCACTGGATTATTTATAACTGCCTCTTAAATGTTCTCCCCACTTCTGCCTTTAGGCCCCTTCAATATAGTCTCAATGTAGCTAAGCTAGAGACAATCTTTTAGAACTTCAGTTAGATAATGTCCTCTGCTCAAAATCTTCCAGAGGCAATCTATCTCATATAGACTTAAAAGCTAAAGTCCTTAGGAAGGACTCAAAAGCCCTAAAAAATTATTCCTCCCTATCATCACCTAACATCACCTCCTACTAATATCCCCTATTAACAGTCACACTGACCTCACACTCTTGAATGCTCTTACTTCAGGGCCTTTTTGCTGTTCTCTTGCTGATGATATCCTTCCTTCAGGGGCCCGCAAAATTGACATTCCCTTCTTTAGGTCCTTGCACAAATGTCAACTTCTCAGAGAGGGTTTCTATAACCAGCTTACTTAAAACTGCAACCTCCATCTTCCATATTCACTAATCTTCTTCCTGACTTAATGTTTCTTGGCAGCATTTAGCACTAATCGGACATCTCTGCCTCGCAGAAGCCAACACAAATCTCTACAGGATACATTCATACAATGGAATGCTATATTACAACTAAAGGGAAAAAACATGGATGAGTCTCACCAGTGTAATGCTGAGCAAAAGAAAAAAAAGCAAAGCTAAACAGTATTCTTTAGAAAGACATGTGAAGAAGGCACAACTATAAAGAAGTGCAAAGAAATTATCACGGAAGTCAAAATAGTGGTTTCCTTTTGGTAGGTGTAAAGTTCCAATCAGGAAGGACCATGAAAGGGAAGGAGGCAGGGTTCTGTGATCCTGTAATGTTCTATTTCTAGTTGGATGGTAACTGCATGGGTTTTCACTTAAAAGTATTTAAACTATTTATACATTTCACATATTTTTCTGTATGTGCAATCTATCTCACAATAAGAAAAAAAATGAGAAAGAATAATACAGTGCTTCTCACTGATCTTTCTAAATAACTGGATTTGGTTCTTTGCTCAAATTCTCTAAATAACTAAAGTGGCTGGCAATATTCTCTTCTTGGAAAGATAGCATTATTTAGTAAAAAAAGCACTAGGACTAGGGATGAGAGGACAGAAGCTCTCTTAAACTATTAATTTACTTCTCTTAAGACACTCTCTTAAGCCTATTAAGTCTTTCTGAACCCTAACTGCATATCTATTAAATGCAGATTTAACAACTGCCCTTATCTTGGGATATCTGTGACTACCAAATCATAATATAGTAAATTAAAAGACGTTTAGAAAACTGCAAACAAACAGAAAAACAAACACAGCAGTTTAGTTTTAATAATCTGAAATTCAAAGAGTTTTGATCCACTGGAATCATGATGATGCTAAGAGATAAAAACATCCATTCCATTTTAAATAGCATTATTTGCAAAACGGTATATCTCTATTGGTAATGAGTAAACAAACAGGGCTCTACTTTGAGAAAAAATATAAAATATTAATTTAACCTAACAGATAATGTCAAAGTTGTCACATTAGGTCTAAAGAGTGAGATCTGCTCTTCTGTTTACAAAAGAAGACTTAAGAATGTCTTCTGCTCTCTATGAGTAAAGAAATAAACTTCCCAAGTTGCCTAGCCAGCCCTTCTCCATTATACATAACAGTCAGCCCCTAAATTTTTCTCCCCAAATTGACTGAAAAATACAAGAATAAAAAAAACAACGTAATTGGGCTTCTCAATTAGCCTTAGTGCCACTATGGGAAAATGAACAAGCAACTGAGTGGCAAGTTTCATTGACTAGAACAAACACTGAAGTATAGAAGTTTTATGTATTTATGATGCCACTTATAAAATAACTTCTGCTACAAACATCAATACTTTTGGACATTTTTCATATTCAACCACTAAGAAGATGACAAAGGACAAATAAAAATGCAAAACATTTTACATTATAATGTTATATTATTTTTTCTATATAAAATATTAAGGTTACAAGTTCTACATACCTGAATGTTCTCCTTACTCCAAGTATGTGGTGTTTTATTAGCAAGTAATTTCAAATCTTGAATAGCAAGTCTCTTTACTGCTTTCCTGGGATCATTCTTCAAATACTGCAACAGAAGCTGAATCTATAAAGAAAATAAGTCACTCCATGAACAACACTGTAACTGAAATTATCATGAGAAATGCAGTGTAGTTTAGTGAAACTTATAAAGGGACAGGAATCACTTCAAATCACTTCAAATGTCCACATTTCGGTCTCTTTCTCTATGTTTGTAAAATACTACCATTTAAGGTTTTAGCACAGGACCTGGCATTTTTTTTTATTATACTGCCAACTTCACATCCAGCCATGTACCTCACATCTCATTTTCCTCAAGGGCTCCCAACAATCAGTACTGTGAACATAGAGAATACAGGCTCATGCCTGATCCCAGCACTTTGGGAGGCCAAGGCAGGAGGATCACAAGGTCAGGAGTTCAAGACCAGCCTGGCCAATATGGTGAAACCCCATCTCTACTAAAAATACAAAAAAAATATCCAGGCATGGTGATGCATACCTGTAATCCAGCTACTCAGGATGCTGAGGCAGAATTGCTTGAACCCGGGAGGCAGAGGTTGCAGTGAATCAAGATCATGCCACTGCACTCCAGCCTAGGTGACAGAGCGAGAATCTGTCTTATAAAA